GGCTCTGTCCTGGGCTCTGGGACATAATCCCAAGCCTGAGGTGTCCCTCCAGACCCAGAGAAAAATGTACCTTGAAGAAAAGTGCTTGTGATAATTCCTATTCAAAAGAGACATACTTTCATCAATAAGGCCACTGAACTTAAGGGTAACCCCACTGCTGGTCAACAGGGAGGGCGCTGTCATCTGGGGTGTGTCTGGTCACCTGTAGGCTGCGTGAGGCTGAACAGCACAGGACTAGGAATCCCCAGTTCTGGTTCTTATTTTAGGTCTGCCACTGCTGTGTGACTCTGGGCTTGCGCTGAGAAACTTGCCCTCTCTGGGCTCGCTTTGCTCATTATATATGAGGGGGATGATAGAACCAGGTGATTTAAAAAAATTTTTTTAGAAATAATTTTTAATTATTTTATTTAACTTAGTTAATTAATTAATTAATTAAAATTTGACCAGAGAGGGACAGAGTGAGAGAGAGAGGGAAAGTGGGAAAGCAAGCCACCAGGTCCAAGACTTGAACCACAATCGACCATGTGGGAGTCCAGAGCCCTTAATCACCATGCCACCTGCCGGCCCTGAGCCAGGTGATTTCTAAAATCTCGCTCTCATAGACTGTTACAGATGACATTAGAAAATCTGGATCTTCTGAGAAATCCTAGAAGGGAAGCCAGCATTGCCCGCAAAGCTTCTCCCAAAGGCGTTGAGCTGGTGCAGTCAGCCCGGGGTGCACCAGCTAGGTGCCTGCAGACCTGGCCAGCAGTGGGGAGCCGGGGGTTGACCACACCCTGGCAGGAGCCAGGCTCTACATGACAGAAGCAGCTGGAGCCTCAGTTTGGTCTCCATGGACAGCATTTATTAGGCGCCATTCTCAGTGTGAAGACAGACAGGAGGAGCTGAGGGGGGGGCCGTGGCAGTCACAGCCGGGGGAGGGTGTCCAGGGGCTGCCCGGGTGAGGGTGTGGGCATGGGGGCACGTCACCCACACATATTGCATATTCTGTGGCAGTGTGCCCAGGCATAAGGCATCGGGGAAGCAGAAAGGCTGCCTGCGGTGGGCGGGGCGAGGAGGGGGAGCCACACCGGCCTTCAGGGGCCCCAGGAAAGACCCAGAACAGCCTGCTCTGCCCCGGGGCCCTGCTGCCTCCTCCCCCCACACCTCTCTGCAGCTTTGGTTGGTGCTCCCTCGGGACCGACGGGACAGGACCCTTCGAGGGCAGGGTCACACACAAGACAGTGGCACAGTGGCAGCCGTGCTGCCCTCCAGGCCCAACACGAACACAGAGGGCCCCCTGGGTCCCGGGCAGCTAGCTCCTCCACACTGAGAGGGGCTGGCACACAGGCCACACCTCCTCTGGGTCCTCAGAGACTATAGGGCACGGCCTGAGGCTGATGACCCTGCCGGCCCTCCCTCTGGCCTCTGTGAATATCTTGGGTGGGCCAATGAAGGGCGGGCCTTGCTCGGCAGTGAGATGAGGGAACAGCACAGGAAGCCCCTCTTCATTCTGGGATGCTGTCCCAGTCCCTAGGCCAGCTCTAGCTGTGGGTCTCCAACCACGAGCCTGGGCATCAGCTCTGTCTGCGGCCTTCTATCTGGGCTCTGGGTTGCAGGTGGGGTTGCTGCACTCCAGGTCCAACTGCCTACCTGGGAGGGCCGGTCCTTGCTGTAGCCTCAGCTCATCTCTTGCTCCTTGGGGCACCCACATTGGCATTCGTCCTGGGATGAAGTCCCACTGGGACATGTCTGCCAGCTCTCTCGGCCAGTTCACCCAGTTCTCAAGCTCCTAGTGCCCCAGCTTTCTTCTGCACACACTGGTTCCAACGACTTTCCTGTCTGAAAGCGGGCAGTGCAGGGACAAGGGCCCCTACCCTGCCTCGGGAGCCCAGAGTCTGGCCAAGAGTAATAGAGGCTGACCCTCAGCAGCAGTGCAGCCTTGGGCTCCTGATCCTGATTTAAAGCCCAGCTTCCCACACAAAGCCAGGGGTGCAGGGGAGGAACTTCGCTTTGGAGAGCTGGAAGGGAAGAGCACTGGGCCGGGAACTAGCAGGCTGGCTTCTGCTTCCTGCCGCCTTTTACTATGTGTATCACCTTGGGCAAATCACGGCACCTGTCTGGCCTCAGTGTTCACATCTGTAAAATGGGTTTAAGAACTCCTGCCCCGGTGACCTCATGGGTGTTATGAGACTCAAGCAAGTAAGTATCCCAGGACAGGATTTTTTGAGGCTAAAAGTCACCCCACAAATTTAAGTGTTGGTCTTTATTAGCAAGAGCCAGGGATGGCAAAATCTGAAGTTTTCTGTTCCAGATTCCAAGGGCAGTGTCTGGATGGCTGGAGTCCCACCCCTGCTCCCTCCACCAGTGCCACCAACACCTCCCCCACACCCCCTCTCCTGCTGCTGTCTGTCCTCCTTTCTGCCCTGCCCCTGGGGACAAGCTTTAGGGACTGCTGGGTTTTCCACTTTCTGTATAACTGCAAAGCCATGCAAAACAACACAAAAGGAAGTGGGAAGTTGGGAGACACAGCTGGGGACGAGGAGGGGGAGTGGGGGTGACCTGGACAAAGACACCCTGGCTTTGGGAGCCTAGGGAAGGTGGGAGCCCTGGCAGGACACAGGTGTAATAGAGATGCCAACAAACACAGAACACGAAGTCCCTTGGAGGTGGGGGTCTGGGTACCAGCAGGGCCTCTGAAGACCGGGGGCTCCTTAGATTTCCAAGGGATGGGAGGCTCCCAGCTTCCGCCTTCCCTCCCCCTGCCTACCCACCCCCTTCCCCAAGTTTCACATTTCTCGGAATTTGCAGGCTCGGATGCAGGGGTCCTCAGAGCCCCGCCTCCTGCCAGCTGGTGCGAGCAGGCACAGTTGGAGATGGTGGGGGGCTGGGGGGAGTGATGAGGGGTACTGGGGGGCGTCTCACGGGGTCTCCTCGTAGACCCCGGCTGCTCCTCCCGGCAGGGGCCCCCCCCCCCCGC